TATGTGGCCCAGGCTGGCCTTGAACTCACCTCTTAAATACTTTCACCACCACACCCAGCTTAAGTTAATCTTTAACAATAACCAAAGTTTGGTCAATGTGAGAATCAATGTGCAGAGGTAGACGCTGTGGTCTGTGGATACAGAGAGCCCAGAAATTCTGAAAGCCCACCCTAGCCCACCATTCCTTCCATGGAACATCTCTGCTCTGTGCCAGAATTTATGACTTCCTATGGTCACAGAAAACATAAGAACTGCCCATCTGACAATCAGGGACAGCACCTCTGTCCTTCTGAGGGTCATGGACAGAAGATCTAGCCTTTTGATGATCATGGACCATCTCCATCCTTCTCAGCTGGAAGTCCAACCTGCCTGTGTTCTGCCCTATTTTCTCTCAGACTGATCTTGATATCCTTTTCATGTAGTTTGTGGTTGAATCCTGATGGTCCTCCCTGAAGAAAAAATTCTGGCCTGCTTTCCAGTTGCTTCTGTTGGCCCCTCTAATTCCCACCAAAACTGCAATCTCTAGAAAATGGATCAGTGCAGAGCAGTGATGTTCCCTAACACACAGGAAAACTAAGAAAGAGCTTATTAAGCCTTTTCAAGGCTTATTAACAGGAACAGACAATGATGCCTCTCTGCTCCCCACCAATCAGCAAAGTGAGGCAGGCCAGTTTTCTTCAAAATCGAAACATTCACTTGTTTGAACAAATAAATGTAAATCAAAATTTTTCTGGGAAAATATGATAATGACTGCACTGACACATATCCTCTTTAAACAGCTACCCCTCAATTGCTTTCAAATGACAAATGCCTGGAATTTCAAAGCATTTTTTGCTTCTCATACTTGTGGCAGGAGACACTGCCCCAGCACAGCGGGTTTCTGGCACTCCAGCTCTATGTGTTCAGTTAATGCATGCTACTGGACAGTTCTAGGCACGGCTACACCTGGGGAAAACCATTGACCTTCCCTGCCCTTTCAATAAAGTTCAGAAACTAAAGTGCGCTAACCACATACCAAGCAAACATGCACCCATACTTGTGGACTGTGTCTGGAAACTAGTTAGAATAAAAACAAAATAGTATAACATCTGCTGAGATAATCTGTGTGTGTGGAGTCGTATGACGGTTACCAACATGGACCATGATCCAGTGTCCAGAGAAGGCTTCCTGACTGCAAGCCACGAAGCCTTTTCATGGTGGAATTGACCAGAGTGACAACAGAACACAGCATCTGGGGAGATGGATTATTGCAAAGTCCCAGAACTGAGGAGCGGGCAGAAAGCCATGCTGCCAGCAGCCAGTGTGGTGGGAGCCAAGAGCTAAAGGGTCAAGAGAGAGAATAACATAGAATCAGCTGCAAGGATGTCAGGAGCCGATTACGCAAGGGCCTGAGAGACCAAGTTAAGGATTTTAAACTTTGTGCTAAAAGCACTCGGAAGCCATTAGTTAGTGTCAGTTGAGAAACATGCTCAAATGAATGTTTGGAAAAGTACCTAGTGGGGACAATGGACAGAGGGAGCCTCCTTCAGCCTACCAGATCCGTGCTATGCTCTTTTTCTATAATAGGCTCAGCAGTGTGGGCTGTCACCAATGCGAAGCTAGCACATAATAGAGCCTCGAACTGTACTCAACGCTCTCCGGTGACAAAGTTTTGTCTGAGCTGCTCTACCTCTGCTTAATTCACTTGTTGGAGTCTTAAGAACTTCTCATCTGAAATGTGCTATGCCGTGATAGGATGCACCCCCCTGCAAATCTGCCACCCCATGTCCCACGGGGTAGACATCATCACAGATCACCGTACATCATGCCACGATGTGCGTGTGTGTGTATGTGTGTGAGTGCATGTGCCCACATGTGTGCCCTCCTGGCAGAGCTCATCTACGCTATTACAGGTCATAGCAACTCATCCCCAGGAGCGCTTGTGCCTGGGTGCTCATGGTGCTGTTCGTCTTAACGGAATGCTCCCAAAAGAAGAAGAGAGGTCAGCAGCTGTCCCAAGCACTGCCCACTCAGCGCTCTGTGCCGCCCCTGCCTTGCCTGCCTCAGCCCACTTGCCAGCCAATGGGGGTAGAGGATGATAAGTTCTACAGCTCCTACGACCTCATGCATAAATGCTCCAAAACTTTTCTCTAAGTGATAAGGGCTTTTTCATTTGTTTGTTTGTTTAATGCAATAGTAATAAATATAATATCACATCTAAAACCTTTGGCAAGATATCCTTTTAAATTTTAAATTTCTCCAGCTGGTTCATGTATTTTTAAACTGTTTGAAACAGGAAGGAGGCCTGAGCATTGCAATCAGTCAATACATCATATGTTAATCTACAGGTTCCTCCATCTCTCTCCTAGCTTACCTGGCAGTTTATCTGACCTGCAAAGCTTCCCAAGGAATCTGGTATCCTTGAAGATGTTCTCAATCATGTCCCCAGAACCAGTAACAAGGTTAAGAGCCATGATCAGCTACAAGTTCTGTTTGGGAGGCAAAAATACTTCGATGCTGTTGTTAGTGAGCTGTGCAGAATGCACCTTCAGTTAAGGCACAGACTGTAGCTCTCCTGAGGAGTCCTAGCTGGTGGTTAATAAGTGTATGCACTGAGTACTTCCGAGGATGATCTGCACAGCCTACTGTGCGCTTCCCATTACTCCACCCAAAGGAGCAGGGCTTGCTGGGGAAAGACAGGTATCCAAGAACACACAATAAACCTGGGTCTCGGATAGTGCTCAGAGAACACGGGCCTGGAGATGAGTCCCTCACAGCTCCCACTGCCAGCTCTGTAACTCCTGAACATCAAGACAGTGACAATAGTAACTGTCACCTCTCCAGAGGACAGCTACCCAGGAGTCTGCACTGCTCTGAAGGAGCTGCTAAGATGGGAACACTCTCATCTTTACTGTGGAAAGCCGAGTGGTATACATGGATGGCTAATGGAATTATAAATTCACCCCAAAAACTGTTTTAATAATGAGATTCTTTGTACTATTCTTGCACCACTTCTGGATGTACAAAATTATGTCCAAAGGAAAAGAAGCAGAAGGGAATATGTGCTCCTGACCTTCTCACTGGTGAACAGCCTTGCTGATTTAGAGACTCCGGCTCCAGGAGTGACAATCTGATGACTGAAGGTCTGTGGACCTCCTGTCTCTGCCGTGGCTTGAGTCAGGACAGTTCTTTCTCGAGGCCTGTGTTGGCACACTCTGGTACTTCTCAGATTTGGCAAGTGGCGAGGTCTAGCCAAATGTCTTTCCCTTGAGACAACGTGCTATTTTACCTCCTCATTCGAAGTGAATTCATTGTTCTTTCCTTCCTTGTGCCTTATGGCATTCTTGGAGAGAAAAGCAGCATAGGTCTTGGGGAGTGTTACCCAGAAGCTGACTGGGGCTGGACATTGTTCAGTGTGCTTTGCTATCACTGACCTGTGTGTAGCCATGCTGACTTGCCTGTCTCTAACCAGTGGGCTTTGGCACTGAGCTACATACATAGCCCTTTTTTATTTTTTGAGACAGGTCTCGCTAAATTGTCATGTCCAAGCTCGCTTCAAACTCCTCATCCTCCTGCCTCAGCCTCCAAGAGTTCTGGCATTACATGTGTGCACCACCACACCCAACTTCATTCCCCGATTTTAACAGAAGATTGGGAAGAGGAAAAGGAGATAATCTGGGGGCACTTTAAGGTCTTTTGTGCCCTGAGGGTCACAGATCCCATAATGCTACAAATTCCTAAAATTTGGTAGGTCATTTGATTGGAACCAATTTGAGCCCTTATGGAAGGGACAGTGGAACTAGTAACCATCCCTCAGTAAGAGTGGACGAGTCCTTTCTGAGCAGACAATGCATCAGGTCACCCTAATCCTCACCAGGTTCCCAGACACTGGGAGTGTGGCAGCCTTCCTCCACTCCCCTACAACAGGACCATACTCTAAAGTGAGCAAGAGAAGAACCCAGGAGGGAGAGGGGCTGCCCTGCCACTGTTCTCTGGGTGTGAGAAATTAATTTTCAAAGTTCTTTGCTGGTAAGCATTAGTCCAAATTAACAGCCTAGGTTAGTCATGGGGTCCAGAACAGCACTGAGCATCCTAAGAGACAGAAGTGCCCTTGGGACACTGGGGCTCCTTGAGCAGTGTTCCGTCCTTTCTGGCCCTGGATTTTGTGGGCCTCTACCACACCGAGAAACAGGGCAGTGTGCCCACCTGCCTCTTCAGTCATGCCAAGGAGACCTCACCCCTGTACCTGCCAGCTTTGGACCACAGAATCAGCCCTACTTCCCCACATGGACTTGTTCTCTGCTAACAGATCATCTACACTGTCCTGAGCCACCAAATGACACCGGCGATGGGTTCTATTAAATTGCCAGGTCCTTTACCAAGAAGCAGCTGAGTTCCTGACAAATGCCAGTTAATGCCCGCACTAAGGGCTAAGGCAGGCCGCCTCGATTTGAATGTGGTCACTCCCACTTATGAACCTGAGACCACCGACCTCGAACCCTTGGTGTGCACCTGTAAGGAGGAATGACAACCTCACCACAGGCAGCAGGACCGAAGAGTGGTGGTTATAACACAGTCGACAGGGCCCAGCACACAGCATCCACTCAGTTGAGCGTGTGTTGCTGTTATCTGTGCAGGAAACACAAACCAACTAACTTTCTGAATTTAAACTAAGCTTACAAACCAGTATCGCTCTAAGATAAAAAGCCATTGCAATGTTGATGAGAAAGTGCCTCCTTGACCCCATATGAGGTTCTGTGCAGCCTTCCAAAAATACTAAGGTTCAGAGGCGGTGGTTGGTTTGCCAGTCCTTCTCAGTACCTCGAGAAGCATGTGCGGTGGCGCCACGAGAATGTGGCTGCCTCACTGACACACCTGGGACCTGGACACAAGAGACCAAGGGACACCCTAAATGCGTCAGGTGAGGCCAGGGGAAAGCCTTGAATGCCCCAAAGACCTTGCAGTGGCTACGTGGGGCCTACCTCTGCCCGAGAGGCAGTAACAAAGAACCACACTGCTGGTTGTCATTCATAATATTTATTTTGGAAAAATACTTTAAAAAGGAATTTGTTCATTAACAAAAACAGTAAAAAACTCAAATAACATTTGCACAATATTCCATAAATACATTTATATACAAAAAATATAGTCACATAGACCCGAAGTGCCTTTGTACATATTTACCAAAATTTAAATTATAAAAAAATGAACATCACAAAATACTCAAGCTTTACAGATATCGTGAAAAATATTTTTACAAATCCAAAAAAATAACACACATTTTTTCATCTAAAAAAAAAAAAAAAAAACACGTTTCAGTATCAAAAGGACAATGAAGGCAGTTGTGTTTCTAGTTCAAGAAGACTGGCTCGTAAGAACCCAAGATCCACACGCCGGGTAAGGAGTGCTTCTCTGCAGTGCTCAGGTCCACGCTAAATAGATACTCTGACAGCAACTGTCCATAGTGCAATGGGCGCCTGGCAGGCAGGGCAGCGCGGCCGCGGCCGGCGCGCTGCTCGGGAGGAGACCAGCTCGCCCGAGCTGTTTCAGCAGCAGTCCCGGGCTCCCTTTCCTCTTCAGCAGCATTCGTGGGGGCATAGATCCTTGGAATTTCACTCATCTTAGGGGCACCAGGCATTGTGCCATTCCGTTTCCGTGTCACACCTAGAGGCCCAAAGACAGACGGCAGGTGAGCTGCAGACAGAGACAGCCGCCTTGCCCCCTTCTCCCTGGGTGCCACAACTGACCTCAGTGGCAATGACACACTCGTCCCTCTCGTCAGAGATGACGTACACCGACTGGTACTTGGTGTCCTTAGAGGTGGAGTGGATGGACTCTGGCCTTTTCCTCTCCAGCGCTTCTCCACTGAAAGGGAAGACAGAGAAGCAGGCTAAGCGCAGGGACACACTTGACATGCCCGGGCCTCCACCTGCCCACCCACCATGGCACATACCCCCGGAGTGTGGCTGCGCTGCCCTTCTCCTCCCCTGCATTGCTCTGGGGCTGGCACTTGGTGTCACACTTGCTGTGGGTGTCCCTGATGGCACCTTCATCACCCTTGAGGTCCTGTACCAGGTTACAGTCCACTGCTGTGTAGCGGGCCTTGAAAGCATTCTTGTCAGCCCCTTGATCCCCATGGAAGTCAGCCTTCTTGTTGGTGTTCTTGATCTGCGTGGCCCCAATCACACTGACCGAGACGTCCTTCTCACGCTGGCAGCTGGCCAAGTTGTTCATGGTTTCTGTCTCACCCCGGCAGGAGGGCTCTGCTGCTGGCCGGTGCTTCTGCAGCTTGAGCCGGACGCAGACCCCCAAGGCGGCACAGCCCAGCAGTAGTACCAGGACTAGGACTGCTCCAGCACACACGGCCACCCAGGGGAACGGCCCACCCTGGCCCTCCACGTACTTCTCTGTAAGGTCCACCACCACGGGGCCGGGCGGCTCGGGGAGCAGGAACTGGCAGTTGGGGCCCCCATAGCCCCTGGCACACTCGCATGCGTACCGCAGGCCCCTCTCGTGGCAGGTAGCCCCGTTGTGGCAGGGCGCGTGCTCGCACCTCCTGACAGGCGCACTGCAGTTCCTGCCTGTGTAGCCAGGTGGGCAGGTGCAGGAGTAGTCATTCACGCCGTCCCGGCAGGTGCCCCCGTTGGCACACGGGGAGGAGGCACAGTCGTCCACATTGTCCTCACAGTGCCTTCCAGAGAAGCCAGCCTGACACCGGCACAGGTAGGCGTCACCAAGGTCCACACATCTGGCACCTGGAACACAGGACAGGAGCGGTCAATGTGTATCCATATGAGGTACGTTCACCTCACAGATACCCTGACTTGGCCCCTGGGGGTCACCAGAGACCCCAGGCCAGCCTGTGGCCCACATAGGGCCACATAGTCCAAGGCCCTAAATGGCAGCCATGGGGAGACCACACTTGGTCCTGCGCACTAGCATCAGCCCTAAGGACTGGTATTTCTTGGCCAGTATGTTTTGACAGGTATCACGCAAAATGCTTTGCCTGGTTACTGCGTTACTACTAGACTTGAGTTACAGAAGAGCAATAAAGGTTTAAAAAGGGGTGCAACCCTGCCCCACAGCCACACTGTTAATGAGAGGAGGGGACTGAAACAGGAGGGAGGGGAGCTGTCTGGCTCAGCCTTCCCTGGGAGGCTGTTTCAGGCACCCCACCTGTCATGTTCCAGCAGTAAGTCCACAGAACACGCCTCCTCACGTAGGGTTACCCCCGATGACGTTGGGTGACAGGACAGCTAAATCCCCTCAGGAAACCCTGAGGCTGTGTTGCTATCTGGACCTGCCCTGCTGGACTATGGAGGGCCTTCGAGAAACCCTGACCCCTGAGCACACTGGACCACAAGTGGCCCTGAGGAATGGATGCACAGGGGAAGCTCCAGGCTGCCCTCTTCCTTCTTGGCATTTCCAGACTCAAGGACAAAGTCTCTACCATGACACACAGATGAAGGCTCCAAAAGTTCAAGGAGGCTCATGTGGCTCCACATTGACTGAGACGGGATATGCATGCTTCCTAGTGCCCAGGCCAGTGCCTGAACAACCGCAGCTGCTCTCACCGCTGGAACAGGGTGCAGAGCTGCAGTGATCCATCTTCTTCTCACAGTTGAAGCCAGAGTAGCCCACGGGGCAGCGGCAGGTGTAGCCTCCCTCGGGGTTGTCTGTACATCGCCCACCGTTGAAGCAGGGGCCATCTGCGCAGGTCATGGCACTCAGCTCACACACCCTGCCATAGAAGCCGGGTGGGCAGGTGCAGGTGTAGCTGTTCTCAAGGTCCTGTGTGGGGAAGGAGGCAAAGAGGTTTTCCAAAGGTGTTCCCGGGAATTCTCACTCTCTCTTTCAGAACAAGGCTCCTGCTTTGGTGAGACCCTGGTGCTACCCACTTACCGTGCAGCTCCCCCCATTCCGGCAGGGACTAGGGGCACATTCATCAGTCTCCAGTTCACAGTTGGCACCTGTGTACCCAGGCCGACAGGAACAGGTGTAGCTCCCCTGCCCTGTGTTAGTGCAGGTGGCCCCATTCCTGCAGGGTGTGTGGTGTGTGCAGTAGTTCAAGTCTGTTGGGGTGGAGACAGAAAAGGAGGGAAACAAATGAAATGCAGGAAGCCTTTTATTTTTCTAGCAGTCGAAGAGACAGGTAAGCCCCAGGCTTCTCTGGAGGGGCAGTTTTGGGGTCACGGGGCTTACCTTGGTTACAGAAAAGGCCCCCCCAGCCTTCCTGGCAGTTACACTGCCAGGGCTGCTGGCAGGTGCCATGGAGACAGCCAGGGTATCGGATGCATTCGTCACAGTACCGGCCCTGCCAGCCCACTCTACACCTTGGGAAAAAGAAGCACATAATCAGATGGCTGCTGCCCATTCCTGGATTCATACTGACACTTTGCACGTTACATCTCTGGCAGTACCAGCAATACACACTGTGCCGAACACTAGATCACGTTAGAAAGCTTAAATATCCAAGTGCATTCCACCTCAGAGGTTCTGACAATAGACATTTTAAAGCTCTTTACATGGTTATAACATGAGCAAGGTTTGAGAATCATGGATGTACACACTTTCTGTAACAGTTCTTTTTTTTTTTTTTTTTTTTGTACCAAAAATTGAATCAGGACCTTGTGCTTGCCAGGCAGGCATTGTGCGACTGAGCTATATTCCTGGCCCTTGTAACAATTCTTTTTACCCTGCTGCATATACATCTTCATAATCATTACATTAGCTGAATGGAGACCCATGCCCATATACAGTGGTGTCTCAGCTTTTGTTTGCAAACAGTTTGGTTCCCAAATAGAAGCATTTGTCAAAATTTTATTTTTGTCTGCAAACTCTGCATTAGGTGACCAACATGAGTGCAGCCATCTCCCAGCATAAACACAAACACAAACATGTCCTTTTTTCCCCAAATCATAGAACAAATTAAATTTGTGAACCAAAGTACCACTGTACATATGCAAGCCTTCACTAAGCAAAAACACCAAGATAACGCTCCCCTCACTCAATTCGTTTTAGCAGTTTTCCAACTGATGATTGTAAAGCATGGGATGGTTACAAATACAGTACTCCAGGTGTAAAATGATAACAAGAAAAGGCAGAAAACAAAATGCAAAACGACTTAGAGACTTACTTGCATTCCCCAGGCTTGTCACAAAATCCATGCTGTTCATCACACCCAGGCAGGCAGATTGCTGCAGGCAGATAAACACGGGTTGAGCTCTACCCCAGGGCTTCCCTCGAATCTCCAGGTGGGAATGGGTCAAAGCTAACCGAACCCAGTCTGCAGGTCCCAGCTGAGCACACCCTGGCTGTGGAGCACTAGCCCACACTGGCTGGGAGCTCTGGACTTCACTTAGCTTAGAATGAGCATTCTTCTTAATACAGTGGCTCCCGGACAAAAGGGCTCTCGGAAGCCCCCACCCCCACCCCATCCCCTTTTCTTCTAAGAGAGGGTCAGAAGTCTTCCCCCTCCTCCTCCCCCACTTCCCAATTCTATGCACAAAGCCCCACCTCTTAATATCCCAGAAAGTGTGTGTGCAGATAAGAGTGGACAGCTGGTGTGCAGGGTGCCAGGGCAGGACAGCTGCTCCATTGTCTCTTCCCTCCCGGCAGCTGCCCCAGCGCAACAATGCCGCCCCCCATGCTCCCCCCACAGCCCTAGCATGTGTGTATGTGTGCGGACACACACACACTCGCACAGACACACACTTTGCAGATGGGAGCAGGCGGCATACCCACCGCCTATCCTCAGGGAGATCTAATCTATGGCACGCGCGAGCTGGGCAGGAAGAGACTAGGTGTTTGAATAAGAAAAAAGTTGGAGTTTCTGGCTACCCCAGAACCATGGATGAAGAGAGAGGAAAGTTCGGGTAGGAGGCAGTCTGGGAGGTCAGGGGTATCCAAGGGGTGGGGGGACGCTGGCTGAGGTTTCAAGCTGGCTGACTTTCCCAGTTATGAAACTCACTAAGGAGCAGCTCTGCCAGTTCTTAAGAAAACAGAACCAGCTTGGGCCAGGGTGGAGCTTCAGTGGACCTCCCTGGAGCCCTTATGGAAACTAACCAGCAATGACACTAGCCCTTCCTAGAACAAGAAGCCCCTCTCACCTCCACCCAGGAATCAGAGCTGAGAAAAGCCACTCCCATCCCCCCACAGAGGTTGTAGGCCTCACAGAGTCCAAAGTTCACCTGCTCCAGGGCAGGAGAATGAAAGTTCAGGGTGCAGTGGGGGTGGGGGTGTTTTCGGGCAGCACACCAACCCTTGACTGTGGGGAAATGCTGTGCCATTGGGCAAGGGTGGCCAGCCTTCAGGGAAGGCCTCAGAGAGCTGCAGAGAGGCTCCCTGAGGGCCAGGTGAACCACAGCAGAGCCAGGAGCTCCCTGCCTGCCAGGCCATTACATCAGTATCCTCGTTTGAAGGCAAGGTGCCAGAAGCGTTCAGACCTGACAGGGGAAGGCGTGACCCTCATGGCCTCAACGCACTCACTCCTCCTGTCCATAGCACAGATCCACAGGAGTAAAGACCTCCCCCCCGGACAGCATAAACAGTGTGCACTACAGGGAATCTTCTTCTGTGGTCAGGTCAAGCAACCCAAAATCAGGGAAGAGAAGAGATGAGACGTCACAGGCAGGACGGCGGAAAGCGTGCCCTGCACAACCCGATCTGTGACTCTGTTCCTCCCTTCCTTCCTCTCCTCCCTCCACATGCACACACCCTGGGGGTAGCACAGCCTTGCTTCCTGACCCCTGGCCTTGTCTCTGAACTCCTCCCTGATGAAGAAAGGCAGTTTCCTATAGTGAGTAAACACTGTCTTGGATGTGAAAATGCCCAAGTTGACCCTGACCCTGCCACTGGCTGTAACATCTCAGAAAGGCACCCCTGAGCTTTGGGCATCAGTTTCCCCAACAGAACAGCTCTGAGATTGCCTCCTGCACTAAAGCTCATAACCCTGGGCCTCCTTAGCAGCCCCAATACCACCACCAAGTGCAGCAACAGGAGGAAGCAGCCTTCCCCCAGGACTCACGTTCTGTGCAGTACTGGCCTTTCCAGCCCGGGTTGCACACCTTCTCGCCTCTCTCCCCGCAGGTGAAGTGGCCAAAGGCATCATCCCGGGGACGGCAGAACACGGAGCAGCCCTCCCCATAGTAGTGCTCATCACACACAAAGCGGTAGGAGTACTTGAGGTCCGTGCGGCCGCTGCTGTGGAGGTCCTGGGACCACTCTTCACCCACCGTCAGGTGCCTCTGTGTCGCCAAGCGGCTTATGAGCCTTTCTGGGTTTTCTGAAGGGAAGATGCTCCAGTTAGCTCTGACCAGGAAACAGAGCTGGAGGACCAAGGGGAAGGTAATGGGCATGCCTACTGCATGGGAAGAAGGCCAAGCACCCTGGACCCAGAACTACCTGCACACATATGCATCATGAAAGCCATCAGAGTTTGATGGAGGTAAAGTCAGATACATGTTAGGTAAGGAAGCTGTCTGCCCAGTCTCGGGGTGTAATTTGTGGTTACCTGTTGCAAGGTCATCAGGAGAGTCTGTGTGCAGGGCCTCGATGATCAGAGAGAAGGTGCCCTGGAGAGAAGAGTGGACATAAGACAAACCAGAAATGGGTATTTGTAAAAAAAAAAAAAAAAAAAAAAAGTCAAAGACTTTTGAAACAAGCAAGTCAGGACCAAGGCCTGCTGGCCCAGGGTGTCCAGGAGGGTCTGAACATCTCTCCCTGGTATCACTTTGGTTAAGGAATTAGAAGAACTTTAAAAGATTGGTTTCCTGGTGCGTTTTTTTCAGCCTGTTAGTACAGGATATCATGGAGTGGGAGACAGAGAGAGCTGAAGAGCTCAAGCAGTCAGGGTGAGGTGGTGGAAGAGGATGGTGGGCAGCTGTCTTTAGCCCTCCGGGATGGGACTTGGCCAGGGCCTAGGAACTGAGAACAACTTTCCAGCGTCAGGGGTCTGGCTGAAGGGACAAGTACAGAGACGCACGTGATATGTCCTGGACTTGGAACAGGTTCAGGTCCTGCCTGCCTCCTCACCACTGCCAGTGTCACCCTTCAGTGCCCACAGGGCCTTTTCAGAAGTTGAGGCAGCAGGCAGGCCCACGATCTGTCTCAGGATCTCCAGTCCTTCATGTGCCCTAAGACTTCGTCTGCAAGCCCCCACCCATATCCCTGGCCCGAGGAAAATGCAGGCGAGGCACTCACCGGCCAGGTGAAGCCAAAAGGGAAGCGGATGGGGTTGCTGAAGGCAGAGTCGGCGCCCGCGCCGTCGCCATCCGGCAGGCTGAAGGAGTCAACGCCCAGCACTGGTGTGACAGTGCTGCCATAGGTGCAGGGCGGCTCGGGGGACACGCTGGCCTGGTAGTGCTTGAGGCACACACGGAAGAAGGTCCTGCAGGCGCACGGCGGGCCCGCGCCCCCGCGGCAGCAGTTGCGGTTCCCCAACAGCCCCTTCTTGTTAACGAACTCCTGCAGCTTCAGCTCGAACACACCAGAGCTCCAGACCTGCACGGGGAAGGGCGTGAGGGCGCGGGCCGTCGCTCGCGGGATCCGCTTTCCGCGGACAGCTGCGCGCCCCCGCCCTCCGCCGCGCCGCCCGCGGGGCCCCTACCTGGCACAGCAGGGCCGAGACGACTGCGAGGGCCAGCGCGCTCCGACGGCCCATGGTCCCGCGGCGCGCGCCCTCTGGGCCTCCCGGGCCTCCTCTGGGGCGGGGGCGCCGGGTGTGGGCAGGTGGGGTGACCCGGACTCCTGCCCCGGGTGGTCTCGGCCCCTCTCGGGGGCCTCGGTCCTATGGATCCGCCTCGGGGAGCCGCGTTCCGCGATGCGCGAGAGAAAGGGCTCGCTCTGGCTGCGCGGGGACGCAATTTGCGGTTTTCTCCTTTCTTCCAAGCCAAGAGCAGGTGAGGGTCGTCTGCTTCCTGGTTTTGTTGGAAGCGTCTTCGAGATAGAGACAGAGATACAGAGACAGAGATAGAGATGGAGACAGAAAGAGCGAGAGCGCGCAAGCGTCCAGAGATTCAGTTTAATTCCCAAGAGAGCGTCGGAGGCTTCCTGCGGAGGCCGATCGGAACGCGGTGGTCTGGGTATCCCACGGGCGAGGCGATAATCCGGGGCCGCGCGGGGCGCGGAGGGGACGGCGGGCGCGCGGGGAGTGTGCGGCGCGCGCCCTGCGCTCGCGGCCGGTGTCACTGGCAGCCGGGTGTCACTCTTCGGCCTCCGCTCCGGGAGCGCTCCGCGGCCGCGGCTGCTGCGCCAGCGCCAAGCCTCGCGTCTTCTCGACGAATCTGGCCAATGCCATTCGAGTCAGCCCGCACTGGACCCGAGGCCCGGGCCGAGAAGCTCCGCGCGGCCGCCTGTCCTCCCGGGCGACTGCCCTCAGCAGGCCAGGGCTCCGCGGGTGCGCGCCGAGGATCTGGCGAAGGCCGGCGCCCGCCGCCCTTATATTCCGCGGGCCGGCCGCATGCCTAATGAGATGCAAATGAACGGCCCCCCAATCTGGCGAGAGCTGTCACAAAGGAGCCACTTTTCCAAACCCTCCTCTCAATGGATCGCCAAATGGTCAGTGAGCTGTAAAATGTGCAACCCTCCTCCCCGCCCCCACCTCCCCGCCCCCCGGTCCTGCCTGCCCCCGCCCCCAGCCCCTCCGCCTTCCTCCCGCACCGCACAGAACGCACTCATTTACATGCCTGCAAAATGTTCGCAGAAAGGGTCCCTTTGCGCCCGGAGCTGGTGCCGCAGCCTCGGCCCCGGCCTGAGACCCGCAGACCCTCCGTGCCTCGCGGGGCGGCCTGCGTTTCCTCCCGCGGCCCAGCGCCGGACTCGCCCTCCTCCAGAACGCTCCGGGCAGGCGCCCGCCTCCGGGGGTCCTCGCCCGGGCCGCGTCCCGGGGGCGTGGGGAGGGAGGGAGGGGCTGGGGGCCCGGCCGCCCCCTCGGCCGGCCGCCCCTCCTCCCGGCGGGCGCTTCCTTAGGCGGAGGCTCTGAGAGGGGGCGGGGCGGGGGCGCGGTAGGAAGGGGCGGGCGGAGGGGGGTTGGGGGGTGCTGGTGCGCAGCGGCAGTTTTGAGAAGTTTGGGGAGGTTGGACCCGGATACTCCCGGCCACGGATGGCCACTGAACCTAGGAGAGCGCAGATCCGGCGCGCGGGGCCAGGGGCTGACCCCGGCGTCCTCCTCCCAAAGTGACCCTGTGTCGCCCTCGGCCACTAGGGTGAGGGTCGGGGTCTGAGCAGCGGATCCCCCGAGCTAGGAGAGCCAGAAGCCTTGAGCTACCCCCTCCCCGAGAAACGCACACCCTCCCCTGGACCATTTTCGGCCGCCACCACCTTCCCTGGTTCTCGGGCCCCTCTCTCCTGGGCATTGCCCCCTCGGCCTCCCTCCGCTTGGTAAAAAGTGAGTTTGGTGTGTGTCGTTCGCGTGGCTGTCATTAAGGCAGTCTGTTATTGTGCGAGGCTGAATCAGTGGCTCTTTGTGCGCTCAGCTGTATGGTAATGCAGACAGCACCTGCTCACCGCACAATGCCGAGAGAAAAAGCCCCCTCCGCGCGCCGCGGCCTCTGCGACAATGTCCGGCACATGTTCCAAAGACCCCTCCAGCCTGGCCCCCCAGCCCACAACCTTTGCACAACCGTCACCTTATTAGGGTTTACATGTCCGGCAGACACTAGAACTTTTGTATTCATTTTTTATGGGAAATGAGTTTATTGGGAGGGCGAGAACATGCACCACAGTGAATACCTCGACTGCTCTCCTGCCTACAGGCCGGGGGGTAGTAAGTCGAGGCAGTTTCCTCCTTTGGCATCTAGCTTTTCACAGGGCGTGCACTCTGCTGTCTGTCCTGTCCCTTACTACTGGTCCTTGCAGCCTCCCCAGCACCTAAGAAGCTCCATTAGAATGCAAGGCGAGAGCCCAGCGCAGCCCCCAGAGGGCCTCTAGCAGCGTCTTGCGGTAAGTGCAGTAGCTTTTACCGGAGACAACTGCATAGAATGTCACCATCATCCAAGGCTGGTGTCTCTATCAGTGTTTATGATGCTCTTCTGAAAGAGGGGACCCCTCAAACACTCTGAGGGCGTCAATTTAAAGGATCAATCACCTTGAGAAGCCATCTGGGGTGATCCCTCTGTTTATCTACAACTGGGATCACCATACCATGGCTGCTTTTCAGGTGATCCGACCTGTGTGCTGCTACCACGTCTCCCAAATACCTTTAAAGTCTCAGGATCGCAGAGATGTGCATTTAAATGTCCCATTGCCGTCTGGTGGAAAACCAGAGTTAGCCAAAAGCCCTGTGCACACAGTGCCTGAGACTGAGGTGGGAAAGGCAGGCTTGGACCCACTAGAAACCCCCTACTGTTTTGTGCAGAACAAATGGAGACTTCAGAAGGTACTGCCACCCTGTAGGACAGTGTCAAAGCCAGTGTCCCTGTCCTTTGCAAGCGTGGACTAGCTGCATTGCCACAGGGCCCAGCCAGCTCAAATCCTAATTTAATCTTGCCACCTAGTGTCGGCATCCTTTCTTCACTAGGGTGATGGTTCCTCCCAAAGACACTTTCTCAGGGTTTCTGCTCCCTGTGACTCAGATGCGGTTCCCTGTGGAGAAGTGAGAGGGTTCCCAGAACAGGGAGATGCAAATGAAGAAAGGAACGTGAGGTCAGAATGCAGAATCCTGAGTGTCCCTGAGACCATGCAGGTTTCAGGAAGAAATGAAATATCAGGAACCTTTTAATTAGAAAATGGAAGTGGGAAACAGGCTCATTTGAATGCCTGTTTAGAAAACTGGAAATAAAAAGTACCACGCGCAAGGGCTTAAACCTCGGGGTAGAAAAAGGCTTGCCCCAAATCTTTAACAAACCCCCCTTAGTATCAAGTATTTGTTAAATTGACATGGCACAGATTTCTCGATTACAGCGGCAAAGCGGAACTGAAAGGCATCGTAAAATCCATCAGAATCCTCCCCAAAGCCTTCATTCTTTTCCAACTTAATTTATGCCACGCGATTCTGTATTGGGGAAATCAAGCAGAAAGTCCTTTTCTCCCTCCTCCTCCTCCTCCTCCTCCTCCTCCTCCTCCTCCTCCTCCTCCTCCTCCTCCTTCTCCTTTTCCTCCCCCATCTTTCCCTTCTCCTCCTGCTCTTCTCCTCTTCCTCCTCCTCTTCTCTTCCCTTTTTCTATCTCCCACCCCTAAGTTAGTTCCTCTTCCACTCTTTCAAAAGCTGAGCTAACGGGGAGACTGTTTAACTTCAGCGTTTCTATAGGAGCCTGTTGTAGTTTAACTCCTGCGCACCAGTAGCTGGGATGAACAAAGGAGAGACTCGAGGTCCAACTATTCATCCTTTCTTTGCACTTTAATTTTCATTGATTGGGAAGACAAGGGGAGCCCTTAGGGATTTGAGCTGGAGGGGGATGACACGCCTTTAGACGCCATCAGCCCCCTAGCCAGCCATCTGCTCCAAACCAAATGGCGTTTTTTCACTCCCTAACTGCATGTCTCTATACTCCCACAACTAAGCACTCTGAACCCCCCAAATGCAGGAGGGAGCTTAAGCTAGAGATGTTAAATAGATCAGCCTCACTGTTGGCCCTGGCTGCCAGATTCCCTCCTCCCGGGACACCATAAATCCTCACCTTGCTCATTAGGAGAAAGCAGGAAACTTTCTTTTAAATACTTTTTGATGTCTCAGCAAATTTACTGTACAAAGTGAGGCTCATTAAGGCTTAGAAGGCACCCAATATATCAGACACAAGTGTAGAAGGAAGAATTTGCTGCCTGGTGGAGTGGCGGTAGTGTTCCCCCCCCCCCCCAGGCATTCTCAACCCATCCTCTGAGTAACTCTAGTGGTTAGGGTTGGCTCAGGTTGTGCAAGAGTCCGAACCATGGCCACAAACACCACACCTGGAGTTCTCTGTGAGAGACCTCCAGTATTTTCCCCACCCTGTTTACTGTACTCTGCTGGGCCCTGCTGCCTACCACAGCCACCCACCATGATAATGGCTCCTGCTATCATCTTTTCCATTTAGATGGGCCCATCCTCTGCAGCATGTAAGCTAACACTGATTCCACCCAAAGTCTCGATTCTGTGTGTGTGTCATGGTGGGTGGCTGTGGTAGGCAGCAGGGCCCAGCAGAGCACAGTAAACAGCACCCAAAACAGGTCAGATTCCAGCCCGGCATAGGTTCAGTTTCTGTGTAAACAAATTTGGAGACTTGAGTGGAGCCTGTGTTTTCTTAGACCAACTGAATACTGTATACCCAACAGAGAGGTTCTCTTATTCCCAAGAAGAATTAGGGTCCTTGTTCGGAACAACAAAATGAAAAACTTCCAGACAGCAAATCTGGTGTTGATCAAACATGCCAGCTTGCATGAAAAACAAAAACAAAAACAAAAACAAAAAGAAAGAAAGGGAAGGAAAGGAAAGGAAAAAAGAATAAGCCAAAGAAAAAGAGGGGGACAGCAAGCCTGCTTATTAATTAGTATTGGTATCACATCTCCACACTCCCAGTCTCTGCAGATCACAGTTTTGGAATCCGAAAGTAGTTACAATAGCAGAGGAATCCCCTGCTAGCTGTGCAAGAGAAGCCGGGACACCCTGGTCTCTTGGCCTCCCTGGGTCTGGCTAGCTGTGACGGATTAGGTGCTCAAGGCCATCTTTGGGTACATACACACCTCTGGGCTTCCATTAACCGGCAGGACCCACTCGAATGCGCACACAAACGAGTTCACACTTGATTGTGGTTTGCCTGGACCTTTATTTCTCATCTGAGGCATCCACTTCTGCAGAGCC